GGTTCTACAAACAAACACACACACTCACACACACATCCACCAAACACTTCCTTGTGTTTCATAATTGTTTTGTTCTCCTTCCTTATTCTTATTCTTCCTCGTTTTAATAGAGAACATGACTTTCAATGTCCTTTTCCTCTGGCCCTTGACGCTGCAGCTTCCTCCTCTCTTGCCGCAGCGGTAACACCTTACGACGTAACCACCAGTGGTCTATACATACACCCACCGTCATCGTGGCAGCAGACATGAATGCCCACAGAACAATGTAACCTAAAACTTGGAATGCAAGCTCCAACATTTTCCCCCCCTAACTTGTTTTTTTTTTTCTTTTTTTATTATTTCCCCCCTTTTTTTTTGTATGTTCTAGATACTTTTGTGACTGTCCCAGAACCGAGCAGCCGGTATATGTACACAAACATACACGTATTCGTCATTACGAAAGCGGCACGACAACAACAACAACAACAACAACGAAAGAATATATAAATTCCTTCACAAATTACACGCAGGACCTCATCTTGCAGCATCCCTCCCCCACAAACACACACAGAGAGAAAGAGAGGGAGAGAGAGGAAAAAAAAAAAAAGAGAAATTCATGCCTCCTCTTTCTCCACTCTCACGGTTGGTTGGTTATTCGTGTTATTTACCCTTCATAAACAGAACAATAATAATGATCATAATAGATATATATGTATAAACCGCAATCCACGTATACATGGCACATCCGTTGAATATAAATAAAGATGGAAAGAAACGGGGCCACACGTACGATAAATGATAGACATGCCTCGGTCTCTCTCTCTCTCTCTCTCTCTCTCTCTTTCCTTCTTTCCTTATTGTGGGTAGGAGCCATTCAAGCCGCATCCTGAAACTCCCCACATACAAACATACACACACGAAGAAGAGAGATAAAGCACGTGCTTCATTCCGAATGCAACATGTGTTGCACTACCCAAAGTGCAGCGGTGTCACTTCCCATCAAGAAATTTCAATGCGGTCAGAAGCTGTTTTCGCGCAGTGGCATGATCATAAAATTGCAGTGCACTGACCGCCTGCTTGGCACACTTCTGTGCACTAATCATAGCGTCCATTGAAGGACCATCTGCTACACTACTGGCGTTGGGTACCATCATGGGCACTGCCGGCGCCGGCGGTTGTGGCGGTGGTGAAGGGTTGGGCGGCTGGTACGGCGGTGGTGGTGGTGGTGGTGGCGGTTGCTCGGGCGTCATCATGGGATGATACATTGATGCCGGAAATCCCGGCTGTTGCTCCTGCGTCCTTTTATCATCGCTCGCATCCTCTGAGAACATTTCATCGAGTCCCCCTGACGTCTCTGGAGCATTGGGGCTCTCGTACGGTGTGCCGCTTTCAATCGCCTTCTTCATGCGCACTGCGATGTAACGCGCGTAGTCACGTCGCTTCGCTGCGATGGGGTCAAGTTCGCCGTTCTCTGAAAACTGCGCCGTTGCGTCCAGTAGAATGGAGGCGGTGAAGAAGAGCCGCACAAGGCCCATCTCTGCCGGAGCCCCACTGCGTTCCGCGTCATCTGCCTTCGAAAATAACGTGAGAGCTGTTTTCGTCAATACCGTACGGCCATCCACTTCCGTAACCTCCTGCCCAAGACGTTGTTTTTCCGCTTCTAAAACCTGGAGAAGTTGTCGTAGGTACTGCGTCCCAACAGGATCGTCCTTCTTTCGCTGCTTCATGGCAAGGTGGGCGACATGTGTCCTCAAAAAGTACGAGATGGCGGGTTGTACCTTGTCAAACTCATCCGCCCGCTGCAAGTACGGACGCAGTGTTGCCACCCAATGATCAGGCACATTCACCGTAAGTGAGGAGGAGGTGGTCATATGTAACGTCATGTAAACTTCCTCCTTTCTGTGGTTAAAGTCATGTGTTATACAGATAGAAAGAAAAAAGAAAAAAAGAAAAGGATCTTCATATGAAATAAACATGAAATTGTGATAAATAATGTCTAAGCCCCTCTCACTCTCCCACAGTCCATTAAAAAAAAAAAAAAAAGAAGTGTGATGTAAATTAAAAATAGACGTATGTACACATTGTATTCTATGTCTGCATGTATGAATGGGCTAAGAAAGAGAAGAGACAGAAGAAGCACAATCCACATCACCCTTTTATTACAATTCATAGATGCGACTGAGTTTCTTTCCGGCGGTAGCACTCAACAGAGATGCCTCACTCTCTTCTTCTCTCTTTGTTTCTTTTTAATACGGTGTTAAATATAAAGAAGACGTCGCTGACGGGCTGCACGTTCTTTTCGTATTGCCTCCTTTTCTTCTTGAATGCGCCTAAGTTCATTCACTTCTCGCTCCGTACGGATTATCGCACTTCGTACGCGTGCAAGTCGTTTGTTCATGGCGTAGCACTTGGCCTCATTGCTGCAATCATGTCGTTGTGCCACGATGTCAATTAACGTGAAGGACAGCCTTTCCTCCTGCATGCGCAGACGCCGTAGACGGGTGTGTGGGTTCTGCCAGGTGGCTGCGCCTCCCACTTCCACTTCCTCCTCCTCCTCGCCTATCGCACGATGAGTCGTTGAGGCAGCAGCAGGACCGTTCAACGGAATACGCATGCTGACAGAGCTCCCACGGCTATAAAGTACCGCTTCCACCTGCAAACTGTCAATATCTCGTCGCCATCGTCGCTGCGGTCGATAATTTTCTGCGTCCTCTTCGTTCAAACGGGGTGTGCCGGCGTCTGTTTTGCGGTCATTTCTAACGGGGTTGGGGCGCACGGGGGAGGGGGAGTGAGTGCCTTTTGGCCCCATTCCGTTCACATCTAGCGCACGTGAATTGTGACCTTCACTGCTGCCCGTCGTGCTTTCTCCGCTGCTTCTGGTTTTGTTGCCATTATGACTATCTAAGAGTTCCTCTTGGGAGGCATCCCTGTTCGGCATCAAGGACTCCGTCACGCTTTCCTCCGCGTCGGTGAATACAGTCGACACGGAGTGAGAACTGGAAGGAGAAAAAGGCGCGGAACAAACAGGTGGCGGTGCTACTGCTGCCGCTGCATGCGTCCTGTGACCGTCATGCCGCCTCTGACGAGAGGACCGCGTTTTTTTCTCGTCATGGTTCTTACCAACGACTTGCGTCCCGTTGTTGCCACTGCGGAGGGCGAGAGCCAACAGGGGCGACACCGCCTCCGCGATGCACAGGGAGAGCTGCTGCACAAACACTCCCTCCTGCTCCAAAGGATTCCCCGACGGCAATGCAGCCCCACGAGGTTGTCCCTTCTTTTCTTCCTTTTCTTCTCCTTCCGGCATTCCGAAAATGCCGCTCAAGTGCGGCCGGAGTCGTTGGTGCGCCTCGAGGAATTCCACAAGCGTCTCCTCCGATGGGCTTGCGTCAAAGCGAGCGAAGTTGTCATCCATCCGACGCAGTACTCCCTGCACCTGCGAATGCATGTGAGCAAAGTACGCCGACCACAGCCGCCGCATCATTTCAAGGAAGCGTGTTGCCGCGTCCGTCGACGCAATGACAAGAGACGCGGTGAGTTGCTCGGATTTCACTGCCTTTGACCCATGCCTTGCTGACGGCAATCGTGTGGCCGGCGGTGAATCCCCATCATCCTCAGTATTGCTGCCACCATCCCCGCTTCTGATGGATGCATCATGTCGCGGAGGTCCCAGGCTTCGCATTATTATCTCCCGATCCCCATGAAGAGGATTGGCGTCATCGCTACACGTGTCATGTGATGCCACGGTGGGGAAAGTCACTGCCTGCTGCTGTTCCAATGGGTCCTGTAGAACTTGCAGCAGGCGCTGTCGAAACGCCTCATCCCATTCAACAGTAGGCACAACTGCAGACATCTGCATCCCTTTCTCTTCGCTTCTCGCAGACGCAGGTGGGCCGGTGGTCTCTCCGCTGTTGAGCGCAGCACCCTCTACCGTCTTTGCAGCCTGTAGTTTTGCGTTAAGCTCAAATAATACCTTCCGCTGTGCATCGTAGGCGCGTGTATAACATCGTAGCTGCTGCTCCAAACGTTTTATGCGTCTCTCACACACCGCATTCATTGCCTGTTATTTCTCCTCTAGAAACAAATATGTATGGATGTATATCCTCTGGTTCCCTCTATTTCAATGGAAGATAAGTCAGACAGGAATCACGAGGCAATAAAAGCCACATGCATGTATAAATATCAACAAGTATATATATATATATATATACAAGGAGACATACCACACGTACACAGTAAAAGAAAGAGAGGAAGTGAGAAATAAAGAGAAATAGAGAGAAATAGAGAGAGAGAGAAATAGAAAGAGAGAGAGAGGTTCAAACGTATCCATTTATTCTCATTCATGTGTGCCGATGTACACAAAGACATATAGATATATATATGTAGGTATGGATAGGTATATATACACGGGTAATATATATATACATACATGTATATGAAACGTATTTCTTCATAGAAGTAAGCATGGCTAAGAAAACAAAACAAAAAACAAAACAAAAAAAAAAAAAAAAACGCAGAAAAAACATAAGAAATTGTCCTTTTCCTTCACCCTTCCTCCCATTCCCCTTCTACGTATTCTTCCTCCCCTCATCATCACCGTAATAGGGAGAATAATAATAATAATAATAAAAGACGTAAGCAACCATCAAAAAAAAAGAAAAAAAAAAAAAAAAAAGGGAAAAACAATGGGAAACACAACAAAAACATAAAGACATGTTCAAACAACAACTTTTTTTTTTTTTTACCTTCTTTCATGCATTGTTGTGAAACACATTTTTTTTTTTTTTTAATAAAATTTTATTTTCGCTACTTTTCCCTCCCCTTTTTTTTCCCTTTTATTTATTTATTTATTTTATTCCAAAAATTATTACATGGCGTGGCAAAATGTAAAAAACGCACACATCTCCCGCCGGGCATCTCATTCATAACTCCCTCTCTGCACGGGATTTTATTTCTCTTCTTTTTTTTTTTTTTATTATTTGGATCTGTGCGTGTGTGTGTGTAGAGGGAAGGAAGAGGAAATACACATAAATACACAGACATATATAGACAGACAAAAACCAAACCAAAAATGTCTCTACTCCTGTCACCGTTGGCGTAGGAACACATAAGGCCCCCTTCTTCTTCTTCTTCCTCCTCCTCCTCCTGCTTCTTCTTCTTCCTCCTCCTCCTCCTCCTGCTTCTTCTTCTTCTTCTTTCCTCCCAACAGTGGCAGGCAGGCACACACACACACACACACACACGGAAAGTATGCGTGAGAGTCAGGAGTACACATGTCGATGAGAGGGGGCCACCACATATATATATAATATATATACATTACAATGGGGTGCTCAATCTTATTTCCCATCTCTATCGTCCAATTCCCGTAGTGCAAGAACAAATCCAATATTTGGGTTAATATCTTTTTTCCGTTTCTTTAAAAACTCAAAAGCATCACGGTAACTTTTCACAACAGATGGTGTATATACACCGCCTGTATTACATGTAATATGGGGGTTTTGAATAGCAAGACAACAACAACACTCACAACATTTACCATTTGTACTATGACTTTCTTTTTCAACATCACTACCATCTAAAAGTAATGTCGAAATAGGAGATACATTTGGAGGTGTAAATATAGGTGTAAAAGATTCTTCTTCCATATGTTGATTTTGAATAGAGCAATTATCATCTACCCAAAGTGTCTCACCGTAAATCATAAGATAAGCAAGAATAATAGCCGCACTTCGACTTACACCCATCCGACAATGTACAAGTACTCCACCACCCACGGATTTATTGGGGATCGACATAACTTCTTCACCATCATAACTTCTTATGTTCCCTGTAGTTTTCCTTGAACTCCGTAAAGCACGTTCACGACGGTGTAATTGCTGATGAATTATTCGTGTAATTGGACCAAAGTAACGTGTAATATTCTCATCACTGTGATCTTTTAATGGAAACTTAATAAATTTGATGTCATAGTCGTTGTATATCATCGTCTCCATCATTACGCATTCTTCAGCAACATTAATCACAAGTGAAATACCATGGGCAGCGAGGGCATCAATCTTTAAGGCATCACTGTAAGAACCCAGAAATAACCCTGGTAAAACCATCGCTGCATCAAGGGAATATGAACTGCACGCACCATGAGAAAGTGGAGGAAGTGGAGGAAGTGGAGAAGGGGTAAACACACCGCTCCGATTACCGTTTTTGGTAAGAACTTGCCGAGTGGAATTTTCTTGTACAAATTCCACCGGTTCAGCAATGCCACGTGCCTGTACTCCGCAAATGCAATCGTTTTGCTCATGCGATGTCAACACAAATCCGTCGCTTCTGCTGTTGCTGCTGCTGCTGCCGCCACCGCCACCGCCACCGCCACCGCCAATCGTCATCGTTGTCGCCTTTGTTGTTGTTGTTGTTGTGGTGGTGGTGGTGGTTTGGGCTTTTGAAATTCCAAATGTTTTTTCTGTTTCATTTTCCTCATGGCTAACGTTACAGGAAGAGAAGGTTGGCGTGCCTGTCAACACATGACAGACACTTCTCACAATGTGATGACTGGACGCCTGAAGCGTGCTAAGGGTCCGACTGCTGCTCGAGCTGCTACTTACGCTAACATCAAAGTCACTACTACCGGGGTTATATGCGGAATTTGCCGCATTACACATTGGGGAAACAGGCAGTCGAATATGTAGCTGTGAGGAGGCCTCCGGCAGACGCTGACGTAAACGGCGGTCAGTAATGTCATTCTCAGATAATATTTTTTCCTGCCGCTGTTCCTGTTGGCATTCCGCCTCCGCCTTCGCCTCTGTCGCTGTCGCTGTCGCTGTCATCCCCTCTTCCGTCACCATTTCTTTGCCGAAATTCTTTCTCCACAAAGGAAGCATTCTGTGGAGTTGCGGAGTAACCTTTTGCAGAAAGTAGTCGCGTTCCTCTTCCTTCTCATAACAGGAGTGTGGCTGCGTGCCAACAGTTTTGGGGACAACGGGAGTCGATGTGCATTGGCGCAGGGAGACATGAGGAACTGGCAAATCGATCGCCGATAGAGATGCCATCTGCCCCTTCGATGATTGACCCTGTAGTGGCAAAGAGGGTGTCGGCATCGGCGTCACATCCACGCTGGCTCTTGCCGTGCTGGCCGATGTGTCGTTACCTGGCATCTGTAACGGAGACTGCCTCCCCGGGACGGATGCCTGCGTCACAATCTGCTTCTTGTCCCCAGATGCTCGACAAGAAACAAATTTTATAACCGCCTGCATCTGGCTGTTACTGAGACTCACGGAGGAAACACGCGCGCCGTTGCCCGGGGCAGGGGGCTTGGTGGTGAAAGAAATATGTCTAGTGCTTCCAACGACAAAACGGCTTGGGCTAACATGCGCACTACTTCCGACGCTGCTGCTACTGCTGCGTCCACTGCATGTATACTCTGTGACGCCGCTTCTTGCGGGCGCAACTATGCCGTTTTGCTGTGATCTGCCGGCATTGGTGTCCACCACATTCACTACTGCTGCTGTCGTCTTTGTTGTTGTTTTTGTTGCGGTCATGTCTCCGCTTCCTTCCTCTTTGCATGCGGTGAGGCCCTGCGCACCGCTCACGTCCGTCGAGGTGTTCGATGCGGGGGCACTCCCGGATGCTTCCAACGGAAATGTCTCCTCCTCTTCACAGTTCTCACCCTCTTCCTCCCTATTCTTCTGCTTATTGCAGCAGCGTTGTTGTTGCGGGCGCGGTGGCTGCTGCTGCTGCTGCTGCTGCTGGTTCCCCTCCCCGGGTGGCCCAACGCCCTCACCCCCGTCAGCAGGCATCAGACTCATGGCGGCAGGTCACAAATACGCCCAGCGGCCGCAATGAATGAAGTGGTGGAAATATTCTCGTGCGTGCGTGTGTGTGTATGTGTTTGTGCAGGAATTCAGCGCCCACGTATCTGCTCCCTCTGACCTCGTTTTCCCCGCCCTGCTCCGCCCTACACATAGACAACCGAACAACCCCCTCCCCCCCTTCCAAAAAAAAAAAAAAAAAAAAAACCCTCTCCACTCACTCCCTCCCTTCCTCCACACACACACACACGGTAGATGTATCCGTATGAGGGTGTAATAACGCAACCGCACCTCAGGTGGGTGGAGGGAAGGCCCAAAAAAAAAAAAACAAAACAAAAAAAAAAAAAAAAACGGAGTTCTCAAATGTGCACTTAAGAGAAGAAGTAATGTTAAAAAAGATGATCCCTCCGATTAGACGTACTTATTGCTCTTCTTCTCCTTTTCCTTCTTGTACTCACTGTAAATATGTATGTATTTGTGTGTGGATGCATTAGAAAAATAGAAAAAAAATGAGAATAGAAATGACAACTCATCAGCAGCAGCGGCCGCAGGATCTTCAAACAGCCCAAATATATATTTATATATTTATATAGGGGTAAAGACAATGCATGTAAATGGTACCCTAACCCATTAGGGTGGGAGGGGGGGAAAATGGGGGAAGCCAAGCTGATAACGATCGCAAATGATAAGAAGAAAAGTCCTGACGTCTTTCACGTCAAATCCCCCCACCCGCACTCCCCCCCAAAAAAAAAATAAAAAAAAAAAAAGAAGAAAACAAACAAACAAACAAAAAAAAAAAAAAGAAGGGATAAGTCGTACAAATACACACATACATATATACACACAAATACATACATACAAACACACAAGAAAAAAAAAGAAAATTACACGCCTTTTTGTTTGTTTGTGGTTTCGTATGTATTACATATGTATTTAATACATACGTGTATGTATATATAAATATAAATGTATATATGTATGGAGGGTATGAGATGTCTGCATGCCTCCTTTCACTGTCCGTAGTACCCCAGACGTGAATTCACATCTTGATGGGGGGAATAAATGCATGTAACTGGCGAGGCACATACCACACAGAAACAGAGAGAGAGAGAGATAGATAGAGAGATAACACAAACAAAGAAACAAAACAAAATAAAACATATAAAAGACAAGGCAATAAAAGGGAAACAAAGAAGAAGAAGGAAAAAAAAAAAAAAAAAAAAAAGAAGAAGAAGAAGCATTACAACAAACATGACACACGTACAAATAAATACGTCTCAAAACTACATTTTTTTGTTTTGTTTGTTTTTCTTTTTTTTTCCTTTTCTTTAAAAATTCATTTCTATAAATTTTATTATTTATTTATTTTTACCTTTTCATTTTCTTCTTCTCACTGCTTGTTTGTGCTTTCTAAAATTTATTTATTTCATTTATTACAGATGTTTGTTATAAAAAAAAAAAAAAAAATGTTTGACGTGTCGTCTTACATAACTCCACTTATTTGTGTTTAACATAATACATACGGGTACATACGGGTACATACATACGGGTACATACATACATACGTGTACATACATACGGGTACATACATACGGGTACATACATACATACGGGTACATACATACGGGTACATACATACGGGTACATACATACGGGTACATACATACATACGTGTACATACGGGTACATACATACGTGTACATACGGGTACATACGTGTACATACGGGTACATACATACATACGTGTACATACATACATACGTGTACATACGGGTACATACATACATACGTGTACATACGGGTACATACATACATACGTGTACATACGGGTACATACATACATACGTGTACATACGGGTACATACATACATACATACATACGGGTACATACATACATACGGGTACATACATACGGGTACATACATACGGGTACATACATACGGGTACATACATACATACGTGTACATACGGGTACATACATACATACGTGTACATACGGGTACATACATACGGGTACATACATACATACATACGGGTACATACGGGTACACACATACGGGTACATACATACATGTACATACGGGTACATACGGGTACATACATACGGGTACATACATGTACATACGTGTACATACATATAATATAATACACATATATGTATGCATGTATGCATGTATGTGATACATGACAGATGTGTAACGTCACATCGTCGCGTTTTCCTCTTTTCTTTCCTCTTTTCTTCTTTTTTTTTTTCCCACCGCTCACACCTCCACGTCCTTCATGTATATATTATATGTATGTATAGACATGTATGTACACGTATGTATAATACACCTTTCCTTCTTGTTTACAAATAAAAATAAATTTAAAAAAATCACTTTTACCGTGTCCCCTTCTTCTTCTTCTTCTTATTGTTTGTTTGGAAGGTCTTATTGGATGCAAGTATACATGTATATTATTATTATATTTACACGCAGATGTCTTCTCCCACAAACCCCCACTTCTTCTTCTCCTTTTTTTTTTTTTTTTTTTAATGTTTTTCCTTCGCAAAAATAAAACAATAACAAAAAAAAAGCACAAAAAAACAAACAAAAAAACAAAAAAACGACGGCCCTTCAAATCCACTCAAACGTACACTTTTCCTTTAAAAAAAAAAAAAAAAAACAGGTTGAGATTTTAATTTCCCCCAGCCACCAGCCACCACCAACCACCACTTCCCCCCTTTCTTTCTTTCCTTTCCATCCCATTCCCCCATTACTCCGCAGGACCGTCACTGTCATTCACAACAGCCGCATCCTTCCATCTTCTCTCGTTGCGTCCCACCCTTTCCTCCTGAAAAGGTGGAAAAAAAAAAATAGATGGATGATGTTCGCTTCGCTCCTCCCCCGGTCTTCATACCGTATGAATCCCTCTTTTCTTTTTTTTCTTCTTCTTCTTCTTTTTTTCCTTTGTTGTTGTTATTTCTTCTTCGGTTATGGGAGGCATCCAAAGGGTGCTCTTAGCGGTAATCTCTGTAGTGATCCGGCTTGGGCCGTTTCCTCCTATTACGCCGTTCGGCAACCTCTTCATTGGCGGCATCTGTGCATGGCTGCGGCTGCGAGGGGAAAACCAATGGGCCACTGCCTCGCACGGCGTTGCCACCACCACCGCCACCACCGCTGTGCCTTTCCATCGTGACACTATCACTCGTGGCAGGCCGTCTGCCGCTGCTATTGTTGTTGTTGTTGTTGTTGTTTGTACCGGATGGACGCCAGACGGTGGAGGTGATAGATGCAAACTCCGTGTCATTGTTATTATAATTATTATTGTGTATATTGTTTTGCCTGCTGCTGCTACTACCATAAGTTGCTGTCGTTGCCTCCATCATGGCAATTTCCCCGGCATGGCCAGAATCCATCTGCTGGGAGGATGCATAATGATAACGGTGTGGTTTATTGAAAAACTTCTTTGTGGAACTCCCCCTACTCTTGTAATGGTACGGCTTCGCATGAATACTAATACCCGAGTGATGCAACCCGGTTGTTGTTGTTCTCGTCGTCGGCGTCGTTGGCGAAAGGGACACCGCACGCTCCAGTATACCAAAGCCAGCACCAGCATTAGTACTACGACCACTGCCAATACTCCCCACATTACTGTTGGTATTATTATTAATATTATTAATATTTGTATCATAGACACCGCATCCGTACTGCTTTTGTTGCCGTGGTGGCGGTTGATAAATAGGGTGGTAGGAATGATAATAATGCGTTGGTATATTTGTGGTGGATCCAGTGGCATTTTGTGCGATTACTGTCACGAGGGTTGTGGTGTGGGCGTTGCTGACGGTCCCACCAGATGTTTGACGATAAACAGCCGGCAGGATGACTTGATCCAGCGACATGCCCGGCATGCCTGTGCCGGGGTACACAAGTGGGTTTTGTGGAAAGAGGGAACCACTCGGGCTCAGGTGCTGGATTTTTGCCTGTTCACTAGAAAAGTCTTCGGCTGCACATCGCCGTATACGCTCCCGCCGCTGTGAGGAAGAGACATCAAAGCGCTCCTTCCAAGGTCGCAGTTCTTCCACCCAAAATTGTCGTTGAAACCTCCTTCGTGTCACCTCGTCTATCTCCTCCGTGTTGGATGCAAAAACTGTCACAAGCCGCAATAACAACTTCTCTAATGTCTCGTACTCGGACTCATCCAACCACATGTCCCACTCCAGACACCCACAAAAACGAAGTTCCAATTTATTGATCTCCGCGTTACTGATACCACCAATGCGGCTGTAATACTCATTGCTGTAGTATTGATCATCGCGAAGCTTCGCCCCAAGTAACAGACTGGTAATCGTAAGGCGATGAACATTATAGACACTAACGGGATGATTGATAAAGTGCGAATACTTTAACAATAACATAAGACTTGCAATGAGAGTTTCCCCACTAACACCGCTGTGACGCACAACACGATCCAAATAAGCCTCTATAGGCATCTGAGGAAGACGATGGGAATGAAAGTCTGAGGTGAGTACCGGTTCTGCTTTATTGTCTTCAGAGAGGTTTTCCAAAAACAACGTGACAGCCATACGCGCTGTCACCAAATCAATTTGACTTTGAAGAGGTTTACGGGCGGATACCACCACCGGAGAAAAAGCACACATCTCGCATGCCTCCGCCTCCTCAGTAGCACCAGCTACATCAACGTCCTTGCTGTCCTCATTGGACACCTCGAACTTACATGCATCCTCGCGGGAATTGCATGAGAGCGGTGGGGTGTCTTGCGAAAAGGTAAACCCCTGTTGTTGCTCCTGTAATGCGTCCCCTTCCTGCTGCTGCTGTTGCTGTTCTTCTTCTTCTTGATGATGATGATGTTGTTGTTGTCCCTCATGCGGTTGGGCAAACACTTCATCAATAACTGTTCTTGGTGTCGTGTCTGTGCATGTCTCAGGCGTCGGCTCATCATTCGACGAGGAGGTTCGTTTCATACCTTCATCATCGGCCTCCCCGTTGTTGTCTTCCGTACCCATTGCACCCGTATCCACCATGCCACCCTCCACGTTCTCTATAGCCACCGTAGTTGCCGTCCCTACGCCTGCAAAGTTCTTCGCATGGTGCCCCCCGGTGCTGTACCCCTGGCCGCCACCATCACCGTCTGGGGGTCGTGAGGGGGCGAAGTGGGACGCCGCAGCCATACCAGCAGCCACGGCGGAAGATGTATACATGACCCTGTTATTATTGTTATTATTATTATTGTTATTATTATTATTGCTATTATTACAGCTACCGTTGGCGTTGGCGTTGCCACTTCCAGCATGATATGAGTCTCCTCTGGAGAAGCAGAAAGACGCTGCGGCCGTGTGACCTGAAAACAGGCAGGAATTCATCCCTACAGACGTCGTCGTCGTGCTGCTGCTGCTACTACTGCTGCTGGTGGTGGTGGTGCTGGCGGTGAGCGGCCTTTGCGCTCTGGTAAAGAGAATGGAAGATCTTTCGCAAGATATCATAAAAATATTATTATTTTTTTTTGTAAAAATAAAAATAAAACTAAACTTTTTTGTTCTTTTCTCTCTCTCTTCGCCCCCCTTCTTCTTTTTTTTTTTTTACTTTTTTTTTTTTTTCTTCTTTTAATTTTTTTAATGTTATTATTTCTGTGCACACACACACAGACGTGTGTATATATTATAAATATATATTTGTGTGTGTGTGCACCTTTTTTTTTTTTTTTTCCTCTTTTTTCTTGTTATATATATATATGTATATTCTCCTTCTTCCTTATTAATGTTTGCTCGTTTATTTATTTATTTATTTTTTTTTTGTTTTTTTTTTTATTGTGTTTGTTTATATTTCGCTTCGTTTATTTGTTTTGTACGCCCCCTCTCCTCTACTGTTATATGTGCGTGTAAATATTATAAAAATGTGTTTGAGTGTAAATGAGAAGAAAAAAAGGTTCAGAAAAATAAATAAATAAATAAATAAATGGGAAATTGAAGTGAAGGGAAGTGAAGTAAGCAGAGACATAAATGAAGGGAGGAAAAGAAGAGATTAAAAAAAAAAAAAAAAAAAAGGGAAGCGTCTTACCGCATGACAGGATTGCCGGGGTGCCTGACGATGTCTACTGCACCACACTCCGCCGAAGTTGCACAACACACACACACACACACACACACAGAGAGAGACTCACACAATTTACACTCATAGATACAGATTCATACATACATACATGCCATAGAATATATAGGGGATATAGCGGGGTTTGAAGGGCTTTGACAAATACAGGAAAGAGATAGCCAAACACACGCAGACACACGTATACAAATACACACACAAAAAAAAAAAAAAAAAAAGAAAAAAAAAAAAAAAAAAAGCAAGGAGAAGTCATAAGTGTCTATTTTGACTCAGCACATGCAACGTGTGCCGTTTATGACTTCCTTATCATTCAACATTCCCTGTCATCAGGACGGACATACACCGGCCGCGGCCTCGATAGCCGTTGGGCGGAGGATTTTTGTGCTTCCACTGCAGCAGTACCAAACGGCACTTCTCTTATAAGCACATACGGGCGACCATACTCATCTAATCGCACCTCCTCTACAAGAACAACCGAATCATAATTCGTTCCACCAGTGGCATCGTCTTCAGCAGTACGGCGGCCACCATCACCCGCAGCGGTCTCATGTCTATCCTCACGCTGCGCACGCTTGATTATCCGGCGGCGTGCCTTGGGGGACTGCACCAGAAAATTCTGCCGCTCTGGTCCCATTGCCCATGCCGATGGTCGGTCCGGCTCCTTTATCACAAAGGAAGAGTACAACTTTAGAGGTGGAAACGGCGGCACGTCAACAATGCAGCGCTTCGGAGAAGAACCGGAATTCCCCGCAGTGCCTTCTGGGGTGCGCTTCAACGGGGTGGATCGTGTGTGGCTGTGACAGGATGGAGACACCGCCCCTCTTCCCGTTGCACCATTTCGTTTCTTGTGGACGCTGCTATTGTTGCTTGACAAACTGTAGTTCACCCCACATCGAACACGGTGTTTACTCGCACCAAATACATCCCCTTTTTTCAGTGGGGAGTCCAAACATGGTTTAAAGTCTTTCCGAAGGTCAACAACAGGAATTGGGATTCGACCAACAGCGTCGCGTGTCACCGGACTCCCTCCCGGGGCACGCAAATGGTTTCCAGCAATGTCACCTTCACTACAGCAGCGTCGGAGGTTTCGCGCCGTAGGATTTCCCACCACGGAACGAGGCTGAGGCCGCCGCGGATGAGGGGATGCCATATCAACAGGTGTCCTCGCCGACAGATTTTCTCGTCGCCGTCGTGCCGATACCGGTAAGGATGAAGGTGATGGTGGTACGGAATCGTGGCGCCATGCATGTTCCTTTCCATTCTGCTGCTGAGATGGCCCTTGTGTAATCATTCCATCGTTTTCATACTCAAAAATGTGTGTCATGGGTTTTGACGTGTCCGCGTGTGGCCTGCGACTTGGATTGACTGGATTCACTTTGTGTCCACGTAAGGCAGACTGTGCCCTCCCACCTGACGCATTTTCGCCAGAACTAACACGTCTACCGCTATTATGATTCTCATTATTACAACCATTATGAGTGTTATTATTATTACTACCATTGCCGCAAGGTGTTTTGTGGGGTGGTCCTTCAAACTTATGAAGGTCGTCATGCCTGCGCGATGGAATAAATGACGTCACTTCATATGGATGATTGAGTGAATAGTCACAGAGTTCCTCTTGTTGATAACATCGTCGTCTTTGAGCCGATGCACGACCTGCACGTTGCGGTGAAGACAGCCTTAACATCTGCAAAGATCGGTACGGTGTGTATCGTCCACCGGAGACATAAGGTCCAGTGAAGCTGGCTTCGCTATCAGACTCACCAGAAGCCACCGCCCGGTTATAACCGTCCCTGAATTCTATGCAACCGAGAGGACGGCGCAATGAAGAAGGAAGGGGCAATGGATCGGGATGAAAAGAAGAACTGCGCCATGGCTGACGAGGGCTCTTTGTATGCGTCGTCGACGTTCCACCTCTTCGGCTGTGCTTTCCTGAGTAATCACCCGGCGACACGCTATCATGCCTCCGCCACCGCAAGAAGCGATCACGCTGTAATTCCTCTTGTTCTCGTTTCAGCTCTTGATACAGCTGATATACATCGCGAATATGAAAAATAGGCGAGTGTAATAGGTGGGGAGATGGAGAAATCAGCCTTCTCCTTTCTCTGCTGTAATCCTTCTCACTGCCCCTCTTGACACTTCGGCCCCGGCGCGGAGTTTCTCGTTCTTTTCGGTCATCAAAATCATCATGATCACCATCATCCTTGTCGTTCCTAGAAGATTTTCTGGTTGCATGTAGAGACGTTGTTTCTTTAAGAATTTCCCGCTCCGTGGCTTTTGCATGATGGTCTGAACTAAAAGAAAGGGGCTTGATACATGAATCGGAGGAGTCACGACGCAGCTGGGGTTGCTGACGTTGTCGCTTCGTGGATTTATTGACCTCCTGGGCTTCTTGTGTCGCCCGTGACTGCAACCCAATTGGTGGCGGTGGTAGTGATGTTGGTGGCGATGATGAAGGTGAAAGGCGGCTGGATTCTACAGCGCCTAAAGGAGTTTCCCTGACGTCTCCGACCGCGTCTTCGGCGGTCAAGGACGGCAAATTTGCCACTTTGGCGGAGGGCCGCAACCTTTCCTTTTGTGGATTCGTGTCGTGCCGCTCCTCCGCTAAGGAATTATTAACAGGTGCACTTCCCACAGTCGTGTTTTCTTCTTGCAGCTCCAGCTGACGCACCGGAGTCAGACTCCCGTCTCTTTTCAACGTGTCCGGGGAACTCGTATTGGTCGTCACCGACAAAGTATCTGACGACACCGGAGGATGATCTGAAACGGCAAAAAGCCGCGTATCAGAAGCTTGCACTCCCGTGTTTTCACCCTTCTTTTGCTGGGTCAACAATTGGCTGGGCATAAATGATGTGGCCAAAGAAGACGGGGAGACATGCACCGACTGTCCCGCTTGGGAACCCTCCTTTTCAGAACCAAACACGGCGGTTTGCGTTGTCGATCCCAGTTCCTTTGCCGGTTCGCTGGACCGCGACGAACCAGATGAATCCTCGTCGCTGTCCACAATGGTAATGGAAGGAAACCTGAGCACATGTTGTTTCTGCTTTGACTGACGATGGCCTTCCTCAGCTTCGTTGGCGACATTTGCAGCAGATGACGGGGCTATCCCAGCTTCCCCAGCCTCATCTCGCAGTTGCACTGTGGGGGACGTCACGAGGGGAGAGGCTTTATCATCTGACGGCGTCGGTGGCGGCATTGTCGCTTTCGGGGTGGCCATTCTGGTTGTTGTTTCTACTGTAGCCAATGAAAGTGATGCCGGGTCAAATTTATCACCCGTCGACGTAATCGCATGCCCATCACCACCTAAATTCTTCGATGGCAATTGCTGTCGTCGCTGTTGTTGTTGTTGTTGTTGTTGTTGTTGTTGCTGCTGCTGCTGCAAAGGCATTGTACCTGATGAAGTTTGACTCCCTGTGCCTCCATTTGTATTCTGTTCCAAGTTTTGAAACGCGCCGGTGGCTGCAGTCATACTCGCCCTTACCGCTGCCGTTCCAGCACCCGGCCTCTGTTCTATTGGGCGAACCCCACCCCTTGCATCTCGTACTGCCTGTGGCGCAGATGCAAGCTTTGGCCGCCCCGCATTTTCGTCACTCCCCTTGAACAATGCATTCTTCATCGTTCCCCATATTCCACTAATCGATGAGCGTTTCTTCTCCTTCCCACCCGAGGGCGATGGCTGCACGTTTGTTGCCAATCCCGCAATTGACTGTTGAGATTGCGCCGGAGCAGGGGATGGTCGCGCCCTCCAAACGTTACCCATTGGCTGCTGCACAGTTGAATCCAAAGTCCCAATGCTGGAGGAGCTTCTTGTAACTTCAAGCAATCCCCTCGCTCGTTGCGGTTGACCAGGAGCGTTGGGAGGCGTATTCGCTAATAAAACAACCTGCTTCTTTGCCGGTTGCGCCAAAGGAGCATGTGGAACGACAGAGGCACTAAAGGAAGGGGAGTGGCTTTGGCTAGGTCTGGCTGCTCCCTGCTGTGACGTTGGTGGGGGACCCATTGGCATCTTTGCCATTGCTTGGTTCGTTAAAAGCTGCTGGGGGTAATGAATAGGAGGGGTTGCAGATGGTTGCTTTGTGGTTCCACCGAGTGGTCCAGCTGGGTATGGCATGGGCGTCATTTTCCCTACAAGGTGTGGAGGCACCATGACTAATTTCCCCTGTGGATGGATGGAATCCATTGCACTGCCCGAGATTGCGCCTTCTCCAGAGGGATGTGCAGTCATCAGAGAAATGTGACTTCCGGATCTCGAACCTCCTTGTAAATGCCCTGACGAGCCCCCCCTTGACTGTTGCACCGCCCAAGAAGGTGGTGGCAAGGTCGACATCTTCACCTGTGCCGCATGAAGTGTAGGCGCCCCGCCTGTCCGTGGCTGCTGCTGCTGCTGCTGCTGCATGAGTAGGGGAACCACCCACAGACACACACAAAAGTAGACACAACACAAGTGTCACTCACGGCACCACAGCCCTATCCTATCGCTAAAAGGAGGACGTTGCAGTACTCCACACACTTACCCAAACGAGAAAGAGAGAGAGAGGGAAATAAAAAAAGAGAGAGAGTGTGTGTAAAAGGGGAAATGTGGACAACGCAATTTACATTCACCTTGTTCCTTCTCTTTCAACTTCAGTAACACGACAAAAGCAGCGACCAGAGGGTGTGAAAAGGGCAGTTTTTTTTTTTCCACAAACGAAAATTCCCACGGCATACACATATACACGCAAGATAAAAACAAAAAAACAAAAACAAAAACAAAATAAATAAATAAATAAAAATAAAAGAAAACAGCGGTAAAGATCCATTCCGCTGCATCCACTCCCTTTTTTTGCTGTCTCTCTCTCTCTCCCTCCCTCTTTCTCTGAATGCAAACAAAAAAATATCTATAGACTTATTTCTATGCTGAGAGAGAGCCTCCCTTTCCCCCTGAATTTCTACCCCAAATCCTCTTCGTCACTGTCCACGCACAAAATGTAGCATTTCCCCGCCTTTTTTTTTATATTCTTGGAACAGTTTCATTTCGTATTCAAGTCCCTAATTTGTGCCGTCATTGCAGCAAGCGGTGTGTTTTGACGTGGTTCCACGTGATACGCCCCGGGTCCCGGCGTATCCGCTCCTAACGCTGGCGGATAGTGGCCCAGTGTGACGGGAAAAGACGGTCCACGCTCTCTCAAATCCCAGTGAGACGGGTGAAAGTACACCCCTGGGCCAAGACCGCTTCCAGTTCCTGCACGCACCCCAGCCGCTGCTTCTGCTGCTGTCGTCATGGTGCTGATAGTGGTTGGAAAACCAAACGATGGACCTCTCGGCTGAATTGCAGGGGCAGGGTGGTAATACTGCCCCGGGTCAGTTGTACTAACCGCTTGTGCTTCAGCAAAGCGTTCAGCTCCAGCAAACGTAAATGCTGGCACGGGTGGCCCTGGGTCTATGGGATGATGATATTCACCTGGCCCGGGGGCATTCTTTTGAGTCTGTGGGACAATATCGGGGCGAGAGGCGTGACCAAAACTAAATGCAGGTTGGCTCGGCATCACAATCGGTCCGCTTGTCAAATAAGCACCGGGACCCGGAAGATCTTCGGTTTTTTCTAGGGTTCTTGGGGCCGTTCCAAACGCCACTGTCTGACTGCTAAGCGCGGCAGGAATGGCGTATGTTGCCGGCCCAGGAGTGGCATTCACACGCGCTGCAAAGACTGCATCAGGGTCTACTGTAGAAGGAGGAGCAAATGTTGTCGTGCGTGCTGTCTCCACAGGCTGAGGAGAGTACGCGCCGGGTCCAGGATACTCAGCCCCTGCATGCCCATCTTTATAGGTTGATTTTCCTTGTACAGTGAACGCTGGACCTGTCAAGTACCGTGTGGCGTAGCGATTTGTATCGTAACTACCCGGCCCTGGAATATCTTGCGTGGTATACACATTTTCTATTTTTTTACTTGTGCCAAAAGAATAACTGACGTCCTGCGACGGGCACCATGCAGACGGTAGGCTGTACTCGCCTGGACCAGGCTGTTCTGCCCGTTCCTGCGTCTCAGTCAACACGAACCGTGGTGCGTGGGGAAAGGACGCTCCACTTGTCGTGTTTTGTGGCGCTACGGGGCTATATGAGGCTGGACCTGGCATTTCCGACGCGGTCGCCTCATCTCTGAGAGGGAAACGAGCCGCTGTAAAGCGCATGGCCACACCTCCATCCAGCGGCGTAGTGAGGAGAGGGTCTCCACGCCTTACCTCGTAATGCCCTGGCCCTGGTAGGTCTGTAACGCCTGCAGTAGCATCCCCCACCTCGGCCAGCCGCGGCGCACGAGCAATAAAAACCCCGGTTGTTGACTGCGGCAGTTGCGGATCGTAATAGCCCGGGCCGGGCGCCGTGAGGGATCCGACGCAATCCACGTTATCAACGACGGTATCAAAAGTCTTAAAGCGCTCAGCTTTAAGAAAAGAGACACCCGTCCCGGCACCTTCAGTCGCAGGGAAGGCGGGAGGCAAAGTATATGTACCAGGCCCGGGGATGTAAGACTTTTCCACTTCCACCAGCGTGGGTCCACGTGGTGCAGTGCGATGCATAGAAAATGCAGGACCCTCTTGTCGATTTAAAGTGACATCATATGTCCCCGGGCCGGGCACATCTCCGTCCTGACCGGATTGTTCACCACCTCTCTCAGCGGTACCAAAGCGAATACTATTTCCTGTAGGCGATATCGTAGGATTGTATGTGCCCGGGCCAGGCAATTCATCGTTTCCGACAAAAAACTCCTTCTTGCCGGATGGAAAGGAATACACTTGTGACGCATTCCATTGCGGATGTTGGGGTGAGTACTGACCCGGCCCGGGGAGAATAACATCCGTCTCTTTTCCAGTAGTAAAACGCGATTCTGTAGGGAATGACGCTCCAGTGAAGCGGCGCCACATGCTTCCGTCTGCAGCCGAGTCTCCGTACTGCCCGGGTCCTGGCGTATCACTGGCATCAACGTGTGATTCACGTGGAGCTGTTGAAAATCGATAGGCAGGGGCAGACGCTGCCGCCACCGTTGTTGTTTTCGTCACATCATATGTCCCAGGGCCAGGAACTTCTGATAGAAGCAAAGGTCCCACCGTACGATTTGAGGTCCCGAAACGAGTTGTGGGTGCAGTAAGAGTCGGAATAACGACATCATACGACCCTGGGCCTGGGACATCACCGGCTTGACCACCACCAACAAAACCACCATCGTCATTATTCCCATGCATTGAAATGCGTGGATTTTTCCCAAAAGAGTATGCCGGACCGTTCGTCGTCGTTGCGTCCTGTACGCATTCATATTGACCAGGACCAGGAAAGAGGGCGCGCTCTCGTTGTTCATAATCTGGAATGCGGGGTTCTGTCCCAAATACAACTACTCCCCGTCCCCCCAACTGGTCCCCTGCATTATCCAAAACATAGGAGCCAGGCCCTGGCGTATCATAGGTGTTGCCATCACCAAACCTTTCACTTCCGCCGTGGAATCGGGGAGCAGTTGGGAAGGAGACAGGCCCCATGACTGACCCGTCGTTCGGCTGCAGTGTTGGGACGTACGCACCTGGACCTGGCGTTCCCGCCGCATCCTGCAATGGGGGCACTCGAGACGCGGTTCCAAACACAACGCCTCGTGGCACAAAAGCTTGGCTCTCTGCTGTGGTGGCGTATTGTCCAGGACCAGGCGTTGTATCTGAGGGTTTCCCCTCTCCCAACCGTTTTGTATCAGCTCCTCCAAAAGTAGCGTGAAACGCATGTGGAACCTGCAATACCGCATCATACGATCCTGGTCCAATATGTCTTTGCATAAAAGCCTCTCGCTCTTCGGGTGAAAGAGCATTTTTCGGCGAGGACCCAAACACCACCGCGGAAGCCATCCGCTCGGGTGCACCTTGGGGAAGATATGACCCGGGCCCGGGTAGATTCGCTGCGTCTGCCGGTATGATCCAATCGGACTTATCGTTTGCATTCCCAAAAACAACGCCGCGCATGGGTGAAGATGATGCAACTTCGTACGCCCCGGGTCCAGGAATGTCTCTGTATTCCTCTTGAAAAAACCGAGGGCTGGTGCCCCACGCGGCACCTGCAATATTGCTTCTAGCTTCCCGCGGATCGTACATTCCAGGACCAAGTCCGCCTCCCATCTTTTCATCCATAACAGCCTCGTTTTTCACAAAACGAGGACTCGTGCCAAAAAAAGCCGTTGTGGATAACTTTTCAGGTAACGCAGCCTCATAGGCACCCGGACCAGGAACACTGTTGCACAACATCTCCTCATCAGCTGATTGGAATCGCGCCGCAATGCCCACAACAGCACTCGGGCCTTGAGATAATTCACGTGGGTCGTACTTCCCAGGCCCAGGTGTTGGATCTCCATTCACTGTACGATCCATCAACCGCTGTCGCATAGAGAAGGAAGGACCATCCTTGGGTAGCGTAATGTCATAGGCACCCGGTCCCGCATCGGTTGCAGCGGTAGCAACAGCCGTATCCAAGGACAGTGCGCGCGATGCAGTTCCGATAATAGCACCGCGTTCATGTAGCATTCTCATATTGTCATCAACATCATAGTGCCCGGGCCCGGGTATCAGGTCCCTCGAGTCGACACTGTCACAACCATAAAATCTTGGAGCAGTGGATGCGAGAAGTGGAACCGCTATGTGTCGTTCACGTGCTGTGTGCTTTACGACGTATGCCCCAGGTCCTGGAACACCTTCCTCTTGGGATTCCGGTTTGAAGAAACGCTGTGTCGTACCTATAAAAGCCGATCGTGTGACACCTGCCACATCCTCCACATCATACGCCCCTGGCCCAGGGAGATTCGCTGCCCGATTCGCTTCCTCATGCAATAAACGTGGCGCTGTAGGAAAGAAAGAAGTTGCGGAGCGCCCTCGACGCACATCAAAGATGGGAATAGAGTAATCACCTGGACCAGGAGAAGGTTCTTCAAGAACAGATGGCAACCCTCTCGTTGAGAATGTCCACTGAGGACCTGTTATTTCCTTTAAAATCACATAATGCCCCGGCCCTGGAACATCATCGGGTGGATAATACACACCACGCCACATGTTGTCGTCACGCCTCGCAGTTGTAATAACGGCACTTCTTCCACCTATAACGGTAGCACCGTCAGGCACCATCATTGGAACGTCGTATGTTCCCGGTCCTGGAACTTCATCTGGTTTCCCCATGGCTGATGCGTCCACGAGTCTCTTGGCATCAACTGGCAGTTTGGCCCGACCAAATGAAAATGCAGGGGAGTTTTTGTGTCGTGCATCTGTGCGTGTCGCATTTTCTGTCGAGTACTCCCCTGGACCAGGACTACACTCGCCATCGTGTTTTGCCATCCACTGAAGCTGGCGTGAGCTCGTTGTGAGAAAATAATTATTTTTGACTTGAGCTCCTGTCTGCCCTTTGGATTCGGTGTCATATGTCCCCGGCCCTGGTGACTCTGTCGGCGTATGTAACCGCCGCGCTGCCTTTCCTATGGAGACGCTTCTTGTCTTTCCTCGAGCGGAGGCCGCGTCAAAAGCACTGGCGACGTTGTACGCGCCCGGGCCGGGTGTCGAGGTCAATTGCAACGGTCTTCCACGTGAGGGCGTGTTGTCCCGCACCAAAGGACCTCTTCCCTTTCGTGGACCATTCTCCACACTCTCCGTGTGGGTCGATCGCTGCTGCTGCTGTTGCTTTTCCGTGGATGGTACCCGACACGGCGAGGTACCAAACACGGCACCTCTTTTCGTTGATGGGGAAACCACACGAAATGGGGATGATGTGAGAGGAACGACGGGCCTCCGTCCTAATGTTTTTTTCGCACCCACACGAAAAGAAGCATCATTACAGCTACTTCTGCTGCTGCTGCTGCTGCTGCTGTGGCTATCAGTTCCCCCTGGCGAGGCCGTGTGGATGGAGTGGCAGGGACAATTCCTCGCATGCGCCGCGGCATTTGTCGAAATCCCCAACTCCGGGAACTGCTTCCAATAGCACTGGCAAAGCAGCGTAAACTGGCGCTGCAACGCCCTTGCTGCATCTTCCGCACTACGACGGGCATGACGGGTGCCGAGTGGGCCACAGTTGCCCACAGCCCCTCCACCTCCTCCAACAGGAGGATTTTTGCTGTGACTGCGCGTGGCCATCGAATAACGCATGACTTCATCGTCGCCACGGAAGTAGGACCCCGGACCGGGCGCAGAAGTTTTTTTAATCGAATCACACATGCCACTGCGACCACTTCCAAATGTCGAAGGTGGCTGACACTGCCTCGGCGGTACTAACCCCCCCGTTTTACTACGACCATACGCCCCATACGCCCCACCTGCAGTTTTTTGCGGCGAAGAAACACTGCGTGGCATGGCGCCTAGACACTCCCTCGACGTATTTACACTATTCTGCTGATGCTGCTGTTGCTCTGGATGTGAGCCTCGTGCGGCGCATGGAAGATGACAACTGCAGCCGCAAACACGATTCACATCACTCATTAGAATGGTTGACGCTGTGGTAGTAGAAACGTCCACAATGTCATCTGCACAAAAACAACAAACCTTCTCTCCGACTGCCACGTCCTTCACGACAGAGGCGGAACACGCAACCGATGCACCACGCTTCCGCACAGGGCGCTGAGTCACGGATTTCGCGCCACAGGCGCTCTCAAGATTGTTATCAATTGAAAAGTCGACACTCGCAAGGATTTGTGCATACAACACATCCACCTGCGTCTGAAAATCATCGGCAACCAAAACCGCATGCGAAGATCCAGTCGGCTCCATCCAAATACAAACACAATAAAAAGTCGAACCGCTCTTAAATACAAACAACCAACACTACGGTACAACACAATCCTTTAAATTAAAAATTGTGAATGAGTATTTTCCGTCAATTCATAACAAAAAACACCAACAACAACAACAACAATAAAACACAACAAGCAAAAAATTGAAAAGAAAAAAAACAAAAGATACAAAAAAACACCAAATTAAACCAAAACAAATAAATACAACAAAACAAACAAAATGCACTATAATCTGGTGTTCTTAGATTCCTGTGGGTCACTCACGCGGGGTCGGCAAATGTGCAAACAGCTTGTGGTCATCACTGTCACGGCGGGACGACGGGAGAGGTGGGTTAGGGTTAGGGGTGGGCACGCCGCTTCAGTGGTACGAGTAACAGTTGAGGTAGTATGCACACGGCATCTTGTCGTCAACCTGCGCCAGGCGCCTTCCGATGGTAATTCCATTTTCACACATCATTTGCGGCACAGTGTCCCATAGCGCTGCAGCAGCCGCAGCACAAGGGAGAGGGAGAGAGAGAGAGGGAGAGAGCCAGTCACGGATGCCATCAGCTGGTAGTGCATGTTATCGATTATCTCCAGTCACGTACCACGCTCGGAGTGAGTATTGAATTGAATGCATCATGCGGCGGGCACACAACCAGCAAACGGGGCTCTCGCGCGTGCTTCGTACCGTCGCACCGCACTGTCTGCGGGGACGCATAGCGACACCGCTGCCTCGGCCACGGGGAAAGGGGGTGCTCCGTCCGTGACTGTCCACCCGCTAAGCACAGCAGTTGGACGGGGCGCGCACGGCCTGGCGGTTACGCGGGCTGCTCACGACAGTCTCTGCACCGCATCACGCAGCACCCGTCCACGTCTCGCCGCACCGATTGGACTCCACGCCACCAAACCGGCGTCGCCCTGCCCGGAGTGGCTGCACACACACACACGTATGACTGCGGGCGGCGGCTGGCTGCCTCGCGGGACTCATCCACATTCATTGGTGTAGTATAAATATGTAAGACGTGCATCGGGTCATAATCATCAGCCTCGTTAGGTGGAAGACGCATCACTAATCACAGTCACGCACTCCGTCGAGCCAAGTCTCCGCGCCGCAAGGGTGGGAGGGTGCAGTCAAGCATCAGCTGGTGTTCTTAGATTCCTGTGGGTCACTCACGCGGGGTCGGCAAATGTGCAAACAGCTTGTGGTCATCACTGTCACGGCGGGACGACGGGAGAGGTGGGTTAGGGTTAGGGGTGGGCACGCCGCTTCAGTGGTACGAGTAACAGTTGAGGTAGTATGCACACGGCATCTTGTCGTCAACCTGCGCCAGGCGCCTTCCGATGGTAATTCCATTTTCACACATCATTTGCGGCACAGTGTCCCATAGCGCTGCAGCAGCCGCAGCACAAGGGAGAGGGAGAGAGAGAGAGGGAGAGAGCCAGTCACGGGTGCCATCAGCTGGTAGTGCATGTTATCGATTATCTCCAGTCAAGTACCACGCTCGGAGTGAGTATTGAATTGGATGCATCATGCGGCGGGCACACAACCAGCAAACGGGGCTCTCGCGCGTGCTTCGTACCGTCGCACCGCACTGTCTGCGGGGACGCATAGCGACACCGCTGCCTCGGCCACGGGGAAAGGGCGTGCTCCGTCCGTGACTGTCCACCCGCTAAGCACAGCAGTTGGACGGGGCGCGCACGGCCTGGCGGTTACGCGGGCTGCTCACGACAGTCTCTGCACCGCATCACGCAGCACCCGTCCACGTCTCGCCGCACCGATTGGACTCCACGCCACCAAACCGGCGTCGCCCTGCCCGGAGTGGCTGCACACACACACACACACACACACGTATGACTGCGGGCGGCGGCTGGCTGCCTCGCGGGACTCATCCACATTCATTGGTGTAGTATAAATATGTAAGACGTGCATCGGGTCATAATCATCAGCCTCGTTAGGTGGAAGACGCA